CCATAGACTTTATCCTTCTAAGACTTATTCTAATAGGAGCATTTGTAGTGAGAATATAGTTACCTTCTTTGGGTTAGCAAATGCGTCTGCATGCTTTGCAATATATTGCAGATGAATTCTCTTTTTATGAACTTCAAGTTCATACTGTCTTATTCGAGGATCAAGATGTATAAATGATAATTTATTCTATGTTACTTTTTCTCAGCTATTTATCTAATCTCCCCCTCATGGTAAAAAAACTAACTCGCTTCCTCAATTTTGAAAATCCACTTTTGTGCATTATGGTGTTAATCAAAATATACACCGCACGTAAATAATAATAAGATGGTTTTCGTTCCTATCCCTGAACCACATGTGAGGGAAGAATGTAATATACTTTTGTATACTGATATAGATAACTTTGTTCTCATAAACAATAGTTTAGCTATTAAGCGAAGGTGTAACAATCCGGCGGTCGTTTTCAGTATCGTAGCCCCTTTCCCCTATTTATTACCTATTCTGTTTTCCTTTATGGTTATGTGACTTGCCGGGGTAGTTCGTTTGATTTCGGGTGAGTGGGGTTAATTGGGACACTTAGTCCCAAAGTTGAAAACTTAAGTTAAAAGAGTTTACGGGAGTTTGACTTTTGTGTAGACAACTTCGAAATAGAATTTTGATGGTTCAAATAGTTTTGTATTGTGATTTTGGACTTAGACGTATATCCGAAAGTTGATTTGGAGGTCCGTAGGTTGATTTGGTGCTTTTTAGCGAAAGTTGAAAGTTCATATCTTTCACCCATCGTTGCTTTTATCGATATAGGGCTCAGATTGTAATTCTGGGAGTTTATATAGATCCGTTGTGTCATTTGGGACTTGCACGCAAAGTTTGAGCTCATTCGGAGTTGGTTTAGTATGATTTGGCATTAGCTTTAGAAGTTGAATATTCATTGATTCAATAGGCTTGAAATGAGGTGCAATTCATAGATTTAATGTTGTTTGATGTGATTTAAGGTCTCGAGTAGGTTCGTGTTATATTTTGGGACTTGATGGTATATTTGGATGGGGTCTCTGGAGCCCCGGGTGTGATTCAGATTAAATTCGGATCCATTATGGACTTAAGGAAGAATGCTGAAGAAATATGAGTTCTGGTGTTATCCCACCTACGGTGGGCTTGGCCGCAGGTGTGGCTGGAGATCGCAGAAGCGAAGGGAGGTTGGCCGGTGGAAAGTCGCAGGTGCGGACAACTGGCCCCAGGAACGCACGCGCAGAAGCGTTGACTGGTCTACAAAAGCAGAATTTGGGCGAGCATCGAGGGATGCAGGTGTGGTTGATGGTCGTAGAAGCGCGTAGGGGTCCGCATGAGCGGAAGCGCAGGTGCGCCTTTTGTCCACAGAAGCGGAAATTGCTGAGCTAAGTGGAAGCCGCATCTGTGATGAAATTTTCGCAGGTGCAGAATTGTAGATGCGACAGTAAGCACGTAGAAGCGGAAATTACTGGGCAAAATGGCTTCTTCGAGGGTTTTATTTCAAACACCACATTTTGAGTCAGAGAACTCGATTTTGGGCGATTTTGGAGGGAATTTTCAAGGATTGGATCGGGGTAAGTGCTCTTGACTCGTATTTGTTTATTATTCATGATTCCATCATTGTTTTTATCATTTAATTTGAGTTGGAGAAATCTGGAGATTTTTTGAAAACTTTCCTATACCATAAATTAGGAGTTTGAAGGTCGATTTGAGGTCGGAATTGGATAATTTTAGTATGGTTGGACTCGTATAGGAATGGGTGTTCGGACTTTGTAAGCTTGGCCAGGTTCCGAGGTATGGGTCCGGGTTGACTTTTTGAGTTGACTTTTTGATTTTCATTAAATATTGAAACTTTATTATCCGAACTTGCTTCATATATAATGTAAGGTTCACACGACGGTATAAGGAAAGGTTGTGATATTGAAATGTGAAATGTGGATATGAGGCGGTACCTCGGTTGTGATTCTTGTTGTACCTTTTGTGTTAAAGATGCTCGTTGGTGGAACTCGTATTTGTCCGTATTGATTTATTGATATTCTTATCATGTGTTCGCTCTTTGTTGCTTTATAGCTTTAAAATTTCGTTGTTAGCTTACATTATTGAGTTGCCTTATTGTCATTTATTTCCTCATCTCCCATTTTTTGGCTATACTATACCTTGTTCAGTTCTCTTATCCTAGTAGGTGTCCTGGCCTCATCACTACTCTACCGAGATTAAGCTTGATACTTACTGGGTACCGTTGTGGTGTACTCATACTACGCTTCTGTACATTTCTGTGCAGATCCAGGTACTTTAGCTCAGGTTAGGCACCAGTGATTTGACCATACATCTCGGAGACTTCAAGGTATACCTGCTTGGCGCTTGCAGGTCTCGGAGTCACCTTTTGTCCTTACTTTTACTACTATTTACTCTTTGTTTAGACAGTGTTGTACTAGGGATTCCATTATATTTTTATAGAGCTTATGACTTGGTTCCACCGGTTTTGGGAATTTTGTTACATATGTTCCGTATTTGGAGTTATTATGAGTTTTATCGAATTATTTTAGTTTGTTATTTCTGTCAAGCTATCAATGAATGTTAGGCTTACCTAGTCTTTGAGACTAGGTGCCATCACGACATCCTAAGGTGAAAAATTGGGGTCGTGACAGAAGTCACTCAAGAAATAATTTTCCTAAACCAACTGTGATGTAAACCAACTTATCAAGATGATCTGTCTTAAATAGAAAATCTAGAAATTATGCTCTAAATTAAATTATTGAGCAAGTTACCTTGCAAATACCAGGTTGGGGGTTAACAATAATCGTACATGTAACCATCTCATAGATACATCTTATGCGGTATGCATGGCAGGTGAATGAGTCCATATTCACCTTTGATATTTTTAACATTTATGGGATTCAATCCCAATTTTAGTTGGTCTAGTAATTAATGAGAACAAGCAACATAAGAGAATTTCGTAAAGAACTTTCTAGCTCTTTAAAATTTTACCCATGTGAATTCTCTTTTATTTTTGCACATCATACTTAAATTAACATGGCTAAACCAATTATGCCAACTGGATAAATTATCAATATTGATAAACTTCATGTTTACACTATGATATGTGCAATTATCAATAAACTCCAAGTTTATTATGATATGAGTTTTTATATAAATAAATTTCGTATTGTGGTATTCTTTTATTTGTGTAGTACAAACTGGAGAATAAAACGGGTAGCTTTTCACATACATATTAACCCGCTACAAGTTGTAATAATAGAAAATAATAAATCTTTCCTTTATTTATAGTCTCAATATAACCAACCGCTTTCGCGAATACTTTAGAAACTCAATAAGTTTTTTTGAGACTTACTACGATGCAATACCTTATTGATAATTAATTTTATTTCTCTAAAATAGTATAATTAGCTCTTCCAAAGCTCTTAATTAATTTTGTACTACCACATATTCATCAATATCTATATGGTGAATATCTCTTTCAAGGAAAAAGTTATACCACAATGGTCATGATCAAAATCATTATAGGCAAGATGTGTTGCTTCCATTACTTTTGTCCTATAATAATCATGTTGTCATAATATTTTCGTATAATCACAATAGGTACATGATCAATGACCATTCATGCAATAATAATGAAATTATTTTCTTATTTCATCTCAAACCTCCTTCTATAGGTGGGTGTGGTAGATTCACTACCACTAGTACATTCATATTCTTCCAAGAATGAATATGTATTCATAAATTACATGTTGTCACATTCATATCACGAACGAACCATAATTATCTATATGTGCTTTACAAAATCTCATGTCAAATCGATGATAAACATGACTTTCACATAATGGCGGATTATTTTGAGAATTCTTATTGTTCTCATTACCACAATGATAACGATTGTAATTTCGTCTATTGCCACGTCCACATTCATTGATACCTTCACGGTAATAATTTTGTCTTCTTTCTGACTTATCACATGCTGCTACCACATTCTCTTAAGGGATTGAGAATGAAGCAAATTCGATGGGACGAGTTTTCACTTCTTGTGCTCATAGTCATACATGAATTTAATTGTGGCAAGACATAAATTTTTTACCACCTTAGGTAGTTATAATTTCTTACAAACTCTATTCGAGTTATAATCAAAGTTTATTGTCTTTACTTGTATTTAAAATCAAATTATAGAATTTCAAGAATTTAAAAGAGAAAAATAAGGTAAAATACTTACCTTAAAACCCAGAATTTATTCTGAAGAAAGTTCATGGAACGATTTACAATCATTCTGCTTAATATTACGTAGGAGTTGAGCACCATGCATGTATCCCAAAAGCATGGTGACCAAAGCAGATGTCTAGTATAGGAATATCAATGCATTCACGCAATAGTTTCACGCAAATTCCTATATCTTCTCTTCACGAGTGGTTTATTTTTTTCAAACATTAGACAACCAATTAATAGTATATCTACAAATTAAAACAATCGCCATTGACTCAATTGGTTAGAGTCCCGGACGGATAATATGTTATATAACAATAAAGAAAAGAAGAATATTGTAAAGAAAGAGAGAAAATTCTTATTGGTTTGGGATGAATTAACAGAATGGAACCCTTCTATTTATAGGGGAAACGTGAATTAGCCACAAAGTAATAAACCCTAAAATCTCTTTAAAAAATAGATATTCACAATAAATAAAGTACTTTATAACATAAACCAAATAAATTATTTTGTCAGTTAGGAAACGAAGGCGGTGTTTGCTTCTATTTTGCCAAAATTATGTTTCAACCGAACTCCACAAAGAAAGAAGAAAAGTCTTTTGAGTTTTTGTAAATAATTTAAAAAAGAAAATTTAGTAGAGTTTAATTGAAACACAGTGATTGCGACGAATTTACCTTTGCAATCACATACTAGAACAAGTCCGATGGGCCGAAAAACCATCCGAATTGGAGAGCCCACAAAGTTTTCCCGCCAACAAGCCCAAAGAAACAGCTCCGGGATTCTGTATTTCGTGTTTCGACAAGTCACCTCCGACGTTACAGTTCACTGCCAAAACTGAAAGTGCACTTATGATAGCCAAAAGTACAACACACAAATTCCCTTCTTTTCCATTCCTTAAGATCCTCCATTACCACTCGGCACGGAGTTCTCCTAAGTATCATTCTCCGCTCTCTGTTCAGTAAGATTTCCAGTAATCCATCATTTCCCTTTGCTTCTCCATTCTCTAGGGTTTTCTTTATTACAGTCTGCTGAATAAAATGATCATTAAGAGTAATTTATGAGTAGTAAATTACAGGGGCGGATGCAGTCATCCACTGTCTTCGCCTTAAATTATACTCCATAAGTTGAACATTTTAAAAAAATTACTCCTTCCGTCCCAAATTATAATATACTCTTTCCTTTTTAGTCTGTCCTAAAAAATGATGCCTTTCTATATTTTAAATAATTTAATTTTATACTTTACATTTTAAGTTTGAAAGTATTGTCACGAAGTAGTAGTGATGGGTGGTACTCTGCTTAAAATATTTGATCTGGCTATGCTGAAATTCATCCATTTTGTTCATACTTGCAGCTAATCTATAAGTAAAACATTGTTCATTCAGTCGTGAAATGGTTCTTTGCTGATCGATTTTTTTTACTTGATTGTATATTCTCAGTAGAGTGGTAGGGTAACTTGCACATTGAAGTAAGGGGGCTGTATTTGAAGCTTCAATGGGAGATGAAAAGGATGCTTTTTATGTTGTTCGTAAGGGGGACGTTATAGGGGTTTATAAGAGCTTGAGCGATCTACAAGCGCTTCTCCGATCTTGTGTAAGTTTTTTCTACCTTTTGCAGTTATTCCAGTCACTCAGCCTTTGAACATGTCAAGTATTGCTGAAATCCTGTTGTCTCTGGTGATATTTATCCATGAGTGCAATTTCTTTATTTATTACTACTTCCGCCTGTCCCAGAAAAAATGCACAACTATTGTTAAAGTCATTCAATTTTATATTTGACTACATTTTAAAACAGTTTTATGAAGTTTTTGATGGAAGGATATTACTTGCATGATTTATAGTACTTTTATGAAGGTTTTAAGAATGTATATAATCATTTGATACCTTAGTTCACACCTAAAGTTAGATGTATTGATCCCCATACTCCTAAACCCATATTGTTTACTGATGAAATATTATCTTTTTTTATGTTTTTTCGTTCGATATCATTTGACTTATTTTCATCCATTTCAGGTTGGTGAACCTGTCATAAGTGTTTTTAAAGGGTATCGCCTGGCTAAAGAATCCGAAGAGTATCTTTCCTCACATGGACTTAAAAATGCAATGTATTCTATTGATTCCAGTGATGTCCGAGATGATCTTTTTGGCATACTTGTCCCCTGTCCTTTTCGGGTTAGAAATAATCCTTGGCCTGTTATTTGACTACCTCTGCCAGTTCACTATGTAATGTTAGACCGTTATATGCCCACTTGCTCACTTGAATAGTTTGAGTTGGCAGCATATATTATCATCCCTTATCATTATAAGTTTATAACTCAAAGAATGTGTACTGCTTCTCTGATCTTGTTGTTCATGTATCAACTTCTCAGCAAGTTCATGTCCTCATTCTTATTTATGATTGTTGTCTCTCATTTATCTGGTGATGGTTGGGTCAAGTTTTGGTTAATACGAACTGTACCAATACCAAATTTGCTTTCTCTATTCCACCTATCTGGATGCCAGTTGTTGTTAGTTTTGTAATCTATCCTTTCACGTTATTCTGTAGAGTGTAGACACATTTTTAGGGTGTTGTAGGCCTTAACTGATGCGTGATTATTTACCATTTTTCTTTATTGAATGAATCCAGAATCTATCTGAGGTCTCAACAAGGATGCCATAGTAGATATCTTTACCTATCATTTCTGCTAGGTCAAACTGAGTGGTTTTTGATGTTTCAACTATGTAAAAGGCAACCCAGTGGTAGCGATTACACTATTGGCTTTCTACCGCTAAAGATGTATATTCCTCGCCCCACATCTTCCTTTCTACAAGTATTATGTTTAGTTGATAAAAGTCTGGTTATAGCTATATGTTTCCGATACCTAGGCTTTGAATGAATATCAAATTAGGTTCTATTACTAATGGAGGTGTTAATTTTTTCTTTTTTTGTCAATTGACACCATGTAATTATATCCCACAATCTATGTTATTTGGCCACTAAATGGTCGTGACATATTTTACAGAAGACGGCTTTTATATATTAAACACTCGTTTGGAGGCATCAGATCTTTTGGTCTGTTTAAGCTATATTTGGTGTATTATGGATCTTGTATTTGAAGAAAGTATCTACTTGTCCTGCTACTGCTACAATTTAAATCAAATATCATGTCATGCAACTGAAATTATGAATCTTCTTATCTTGTAGCAACCAGGTTCTTCCAAAGATAAACCTATTGGGAAGAATTATCAGGAAAAGAGTATGCAGGTAAGATCTTGAATTGTCTGTCCAGGTTACTCTTTTGCTTATTGTTTGGGAAATACTTCATTGAACTGAACTTTCACAACCGCTTTCTCTTTTTAAGACCCATAGCATGTTTGGACAAGCTTCTCCAATCCTAGCAGCACTTTTTTTTTCAAAGTTGAAGTGTTTGGCCAAGCTTTTGGAAGAAAAATAAGTGCTTTTTGAGGAGAAGCAGAATGAAGTAGCTTCTCTCCAAAAACACTTTTTTGAAAAGCACTTTTGAGAAAAATACACTTAGAAGCAGTTTGTAAAAGCTTGGCCAAACACTAATTGCTGCTGAAAAGTGCTTTTCAAATTAATTAGCCAAACACAAACTGCTTCTCACCAAAAGTACTTTTGAGAAAAGCACTTTTCAAAATAAGCTTATTTTTGCAGCTTGGCCAAACGGGCTACTAGTCACCTAGCTTCTGTCATCTAAAAGGTATTTCATATTGGTCACTTTAAAACGCTTGTGGTAGGATAGGATGGCGATAATTAGATTCACATGTGTATTCTCTAGCTGTTGTGTTTTAGTGAAATGCATTTGAGATGGTCCACTGAGAGGTCTAGAATGACGTTTATACCCGGCAGAATGGGAAATGCTCACTTAAATTTGTCTGCAGCCTGAAGAGCATCATGTAACAACTTTATAGTTAGCATTAGTTGCTTTTAGTCTGATAATGAGTTTTTGATATCATCAGAACTCAACTCTCATACATGCTATAAGGAAGTTCTAGTTTATCGGGGCTTGGGCTAATGAAAATTTCGTGATTCCTCCAATTTTTGGTATAAAAGTAAAAACTTTAGACTACTATATAAGAAAAAGGCTTTAGCTGTTGAAGAATTTAAGCCAGATAAGTGCAGTGATGCTTGTGGTTAATGTCTCTGAATACCTTATGTGATGGAAACAAAGTTGTTTTTATCAGTTAGATAGATTGAATACATGAAGATTCTATGTGTTTTCTGCGGAAGTTTACTTGATATTTTTTTTGTTTCAAAGAGGTTAAAGTATGCTGTCTTTCATTCAGTTAGCTGTGGTTCCATCAGCTTCTTTTTCAGCTGCTGCTCAACAAAAGCATGCTAAATTAGACAATTTCCTTGAAGATCCCCCGATATCTACTTATTGTGTAAGTTTCTTTTTATAGCCAATTATTTTTGTAGCTACATCTTTTCTGGTTTAAATGTACAATTTCTTCTTAACGTAGATTAAGGTTTTTAGTATTTGTTCAATATGTCAAGTGAATCCATGAAATATTGGCTTTGAGGACTGCTTGGTTGCCCATGGCATGTTCCATTTATTCAGGGTACTCTTCTGCCATGCTTTCCCTATATTCTTGTAAAATGGTGGTGTTGTTTGAAATAGAGATACCTTTCTGTCGCTGCTACTAGTGAAATTACATAAACATTGTCTTGTTACTATTTCCTGCCAGCTCTTTTTCTGAGTCCCATTAATTGTTGAGCGGCTATTGATTATGGCATTGCCTCAGATGCAATTACTAAAATATCTAGTTCTTCTTGGATGATGGAAGTTATGTTTGTCTTTGAATTTTGATGTCAAGATTTGATGGAGAAGTGAGACAATTCAGTGACAGTATGTGAGGAGAATAGATGCTTATGGATGAGTAATTTGGCCTGGAGGCTAACTCCTTAAATAATAAATCAGAGAGAGTTCCCTTTATGTCTGAATTTGTCAATCAATGAACAACAGGGAATTAGGAAGTCTTAAGGAATCATTTGGTATGCCCAACTATTAAGGAGGTGTCATTTTGATAATACTGTCTAACATTTTGTACATCAGTTTAATCGCCAGAAAAGTGTCTATAATCCGTTCATGTCCAGTCAAGCATTTGGTTTAGAACTAGGTCAAGGTATTGAGTCCGATAATGGCATTGGCTAAAGCTTGATATTCCTGTTGCCTTTTTTTGTAAGGTACTCCCTCCATTTCTATTTATATTTTGTGGGGCTATAAATTGTTGCATAAAGGTAAATTGTTTCCAAATAAGGAAAGGGGTCATTCTTTTTGGCACGGACTAAAAAGGAAATAGGTTCACATAAATTGAAACGGAGGGAGTAATAACTATTGATATTGTGTTCATGCAAAATATGTCCTGTCATTTAGACTTCTAACAATTCCACCAATTAAACTTTCAACAAATTATTCAACTTCTCTTTTTTGGTTTTCCAACCAGTGTCTGGTACCGCTTTGGGACCCCAACTAAATCCGGATTCCCGCCGCGTAAGGCCCATTAAAAAGGGAAGCATTCTCTACTAAGATTTTTTTCTTTCCCAATGCTTGAGTCCTAGACCTTTGGTTAAGGGTGGAGAGATTTTGTTTATCACACCACAACCCTTGGTGGTAACCATTCAACTTCACCCCACAAATTCAACAATTTTTCTTTTTGGGTGAGAAATTTAGCACCACAAAGAAATGGTCAGTACCATAAGATATATTTCAATCTTTTAATCAATCAACTATTCGAAACTAGTTGGGTTGACAATATGTACTGAATCTATTCCGTTCTATACCGATCAATTTCAATCCAACAATAGATTGCTTTCTAAAATAAATTAGGGAATCTTCAAAGTTGAGTTTCTCTAAATCACATTTGTCTCAACTCTGACATATACATGTCCATAACCGAACAATACGACTTGTTAAACACGGGAGCTTCCACTAATGTAAGTGTAAGTCTGTAATAACATCTAAATATTAATCTTCCAATTAGTCGCTATTGCATATATGAATTTTGTGATTCTATTGTACTATTGTTCTTAGCGAAATCCGTTTAGATTCCAAGGAGCTCTAGATCTATCGAGACAACTTTTCTCCATGTAAATAATGTACAACAATTGCAAGAGAGAAGAATGTACAGCATAAAAGGAGGAAACATAATAGGAAACTCACATTATAAAAAAAACATAATAGGAAACTTAAAAAAAGGGAAAAAACCCTGAAAATGGGAAAAATATTGCGGGGTTTTGGGGGAGAGAGGGGGGGGGGGGGGAGGATAGAGAGAATTTCCATCATGGGGTAGGGGCGGGTGGACGGTGGACTATACTACCACAAGGAGGGATTAGGGGGAAGATTACACTGTAGGAGGTGTATGCAGCAACAATGGAACTGATTAAGGTGGAGGGGTGTATCGGGTTGGGGAGAAACATATCACATTGGGGAAGCGAGTAGCAGACTAGCTGGGATGAGGAGAGAATTTCATTGACACCCACTAGAAATGGGGAAGATGAAACCATGTCTGGGATCGGGGAGTTAGTGGAGGGTGGTTGGGGTGAGAGGAGGGTAGATGATCTCTGGCTGTTGGGGAGGAAACGCGAAGGGAAAAAAAAATTCGAGAAGGAAAAGCTCACTTGGTTGTTTCTGGCTATTATCCAAAGGGATTATATACTCGGATGCTAATCCAACTCCCTTGCCCCAGTATAACGTTCTCCTGCTTTCCAGGATTACAAAGTCTTTTATCCCCATTTTTCGCGACTGCTCTCAAACCCGGAATGTGCAAGGTACTTTTGCTAGGGGCATATTCACTTACCAAGTAGTCCTATGTCCGCATTCAAGGAAAAAATAGGCAAGAATTTACCAGGAAACTGATCGCAACTTCAAAAGTTGAAGATTGTTTACAGACATTTCCGGTACTAGTAATAACTTTTGGTTGAATACATCCTTCATTGCAGCACAATCACATGATTCGCGTGTAGAACTCCACTCCGAGGAACTCCTTGTTTTTAAACAAATATTTTCTTTGGACTTCTGTTATAAGCTACATTATATTAATTTTCAGCTTTGAAAGTGAGTAAATCCTATTTGCGCTTAAGTTCCAAACGACAGCGCATTATCTTCTAAAGATATGGATAAGGTAATAAATCAATTTCCTTGTTGCCAAAAGGAGTTGTGTAAATTGTCTTACTCTTAATGATATGAACATCCATGCTCTTGTACGTGTTAATATCTTTATGTGATTTGATAAAGCTTCTTGGAATACCTCTTTAACTGATAGCATCAGTTCCCCGACATGCAGCTTACATGCATTCTTGAGTTTGATGGTGCTTCAAAGGGAAACCCTGGACTAGCTGGTGCAGGGGCTGTTCTGCGAGCTGCAGATGGAAGTATGGTATGCTCCCTTTTCTATTTCAAAGACATCACTTTCTCATTACAAATTTACAGTTTTTCGGCTTATAATTCTCTTTTTGCTAGGTTTTCCGGCTGCGTGAAGGTTTAGGTGTTGCTACTAATAATGTTGCTGAATACAGAGGAGTAATCTTAGGCCTGAAGTATGCGCTTGAGAAAGGTTTTAAACACATACGAGTTCAAGGAGACTCAAAACTTGTCTGCATGCAGGTCGCGTTTCTCTTTCTTCTACATCTCTCTGAAGGACTATTTTTTTTTTATTCCTCCAAATAGAACATGGCCACAAGGGTGGATACCCCTACTATCTGATGAAAGATCTTAGGTGTGAATCCATCTATCCATTTATATATATATATATATATATATATATATATATGATATAGCGTGCCCCTTTTTGATAAGCTTTCTTTAAAATATTGCTTACAACGGCCTAGTAATTGTTCATGCGATTTTATTCTTTCTAAAGTGAAGACAATTAACTGTTTTAAGGCATAAGGGCTAGTAAAAGGTACTTGGTTTTAGAATTACGCGAAAGTACAATAAGGAGCCAAGTGCAATGAGAAATCTTGTTCATGAAGTCTCAAGGTAACCTATAAAGTATGAAGTTGGTCTCTTATGAACGTTGGAAAATGCATTCAAAACTTATGTTGTCAGGTAAGGAAGAAAATAAACCACTCGGAACAAAGATAATCACCAACAGGACAACACGAGAAAATGAAGTGAAAGAATGAGCAGCTTCAGCGGAGCACTGTGGGTCACATTGTTTTGCGATGACTCCCTAATGTGAAAGCTGGAAAAGAGAATGTAGTTTTACAGTTAGTTTAAGAAGCTTACTTTCTCTATTATTGTTGTTGTTATTCTAGTCTGAATATTGTTATAATATTGCATCGTAAATGATTAACTGTAACAGGACTTCACAAAAACAGAAAAGCAGAAGAGATTAACTGTAACATATTTGGGAGTGATTGTAAATTCCTAATAGTATTTAAGATGCATTGAGGCATAATTAGTTAACTGATATTATGGGTTAGGATCTTGGACTGTTAACTAAACAATCAGCCATATCAAGCTTAACTGAAATAATTGGTGGATAAAGGGGCTATGTTTACGTGAAATAATGGGTTTTGTTCGGCCTTACTTTTTTGGAATGTTATCCGACCCATATGCTTCCTAACTTACACCGGATCAAGTTTCAAACTGAAGCTATTCTTCACCATGCCTGCCTTAATTTTTTTCACTTGGATTGTATTTATTTTCCAGTTCATTGCTGTTTATGTTTTAACTAGATCTACTTGTTGGTCATGATCGGCCGTCACCAATTACTTATACTTTTCTAATTTTATCATGGAACAGACTCAGGGAATCTGGAAATGTAAAAACCAAAACATGGCGGAACTGTGCAAGATCGTCAAAGAGCTTAAAGATCAGTTTATGTCTTTCCAGATCAGCCATATAGAAAGAGTATGGACAACTCTTGCTATATTTACTAATTCTAAGCTTCTTGCTGGAAAAGAGTGGGTTTAGTGGAAATGTGATGTGCTGAGGACTTGGATATGTGCTGCACGATATTTCTGAACTAATGAGTGGTATAATCTGCTGAAAAGGACTGAAATGAAAGAGGTGCAAGCAGTTGGTACTGGGAGGCCGTGTTCGATTTATGCAATAAACGTTTCCTTTTATCGTGCTATTGTACCATTTGAAAATGATTCCGTTGATCTGTTGGTGGATGTGAATGCATGCCCCCTAAGCATAGCATTTGACTTTTGACTTTTGCCTTTTGCATTGCTCTACGTGAGAGTCACCACGTTTATTCATACATACACTTTGCATAAAAAAGTTTCTTCAGGTTATTGTTATACCCACGTTTCATTCCCTCTGAGGTGTACTTGTTTAATATCGTAGGAATTCAACACTGAAGCTGATGCCCAGGCAAATCTAGCGGTGTATCTTAAGAGTAAGGCCTTTCCTAAGCTCCTTTCCTTGAGGTTTAAATCATTTCCCTCTTCTTTTCTCTTGCGAGAAAATGTGTTAAACAGGATGCTTTTGCAGATGGTGAAACTCAAGTGGAATGTGACATGAAGTAGGTCATACTGTTAAGTCATGAAGCTTTTGGGATTTTGGAGGGCCCTGAACAGTTTATTACTCCTTCCAGATATATATGATCTGGATGTTGTTGCATGTAACCTAATTGTGTATCTGGGATTAGCTAACTTATGTTCGGAGCTTTACACTAACCAACTACTCTGTTGCTTAACATTGTGCAAACTGAAGTAATACGAGTCCATCATCCTGGTTTCGTAACTATCAGTTGATGGATTATTTAGGGTTACTCTTAGACCGCATCAACATGGATACTGGAGTGAGCAACTGTGTAATTGGTTCACCTAGTATATGGATGTAACTGCTGTAGTTTATAACTTATTAATCAATCAACTATTCAAAACTAATTGGAATCGGCTTTATGAATCTTTTCTTATCAGTCATCTTTGTTTTAGTGACAAACTTGAGACCTGTACTCTCATACGAAGATAGTACGATCAGGTTATCGTGTCAGAGGTTATTAATTCATTTTTGAATATAGTGATGTTTGGATGAGCTTGTTCACAGATAATTTGCAATTCATCGTTTGCGTCTTACCCAAAATTGCACGCAGGGGCAAGGCTATTAACCCAAATGACCCAACGTACCATCGTTGGTAGCTCCTTTTTGAATTCTATAAGTATATCTATGACTTCAATCTCTCGAGTCGTTTGAGGTTCAGAGCTTCGCAATTCGCAAGTTACACTTACAGTGTCTGCCTTGTTTCTGTCAATTACTGGAGTATATGTTTTTTTTAAAGTATTCTATGAGTACCCTTTCAACTTTCAACTCATTCAGGACCATGAACAATCAACATGAAAATCTTTATAAAGGGATGAATTCTTAGTTATGGCATATTATAGTTGGATTAACTTACTGGCTTTTTGTTTTTTTTATTGTTTATAACAAAAATAGTTACGTTATATACTTGCTTCCAAAGTTTGAGGGTTTTGACAGGAACTGGTGCTTGTGGAAGTCATGACATGTGTTTTTCATAAGCACTTTATCACTAATCATGATCAATTAATATGTAGTATTATATTTCATCACTTAATCATGACATTTATAATATAAAATTTCGCGTGTAAACAAATATTTCGTCATATGTTGTTATTTTGGGGCCTATTCCTGTTATAACTGAGATGCAGACGGGAGTTCGTAGGCAATTTCTTCGAAATATGGCACATAACATATGGATTTTCCAAATACTCATTAAATTTTTGACGACAACCTTGGCGATGTTGATAACTAGAAGAAGAAAGAAAATTCTACGTTATGTTACAATCAATATAGTTCTGATACCTGACTTTATAACTGAAACTACCATGAATATGCAACTACTCTCTCCTTTCAAAAAGAATACTTTAAATGATTCTCCCAAATCAATTATTTGATGGATGTTAGTCAGAGAACACCATACGTGCTGAAAGTTAAATATTTTTTTAGGATAGCACAAAGTTATAAACGAGCAGTTCATATGGTACCATCCAAGTTGCTCTCCTAATTCTATATTCAAAATTTTATTACTAGTATTTTAAATCTTACATGTCTCTCTTCTCAATCTTATTTTGTTCTTTGTCAAATTTTCAGTTGCTTCCTAGCTCCATTTGATGTGGCGAGATATCGAGAATAAAAGTCAAATTATTTAATTTTTGGTGTGGATTCAAATATAGGATTTCCATGTTTTTAAAACAAAATTTGTGAAATTTAAAAGCACGTATTAAACCAGAAAAAGAAACGTACAAAGTAATATAATTCACCAAAAGTTAAATAATTTAAAAGATATGATCAACAAAAGATCTCGTTGATTCTTCAAATAATAATAGTACTACTTAAAAAAGATGGATATTTTTTCACATAACTTATAGGGGCAGGAAATGTCCAATGAAACACCAAGATTTAGTGGTTCATTGAGCTGGGGAAATTCAATCTGTAATACCAGCCACTACATTTTGCAACAAATCTACGAGCCATTTATATAAAAAAACATTTATACAATCAAATTATTTTTATTAAATAACATACAAATTTATGTGACAAAACATTAACGTGCAATCTGATGAAAGTAAATAAGCTACTATAATAAGCGAAAGAATACTACTAATTTATATTTTTACACGGTTAATGTATGTAACCAATCAATATTTTATTTAGATACTTTTACTTTTCGGTCTCTGAGCGGATACTCAATTGCTTTGGGATCCTGATTATTCAGGAATCAGGATTTCTGTCATGTAAAGCTTGTTTAGATTACAAATGCCTATGGCTTGTGTAAAAGTTTTCTTTCTTTCTTTTCTTTTAAACTGTATAAAATCAAATACCAATATATAAATCGAGAATATAGCAAAAATAACAAAAGAGACATATAATAAATACACACACAAAAGAAAGATTATTCCTGACGAAGATGTTTGTTTAACATAAATATATTATTATTTTAGTTCAAATAAGCCAAATAACTTTTTTTTTTTATAAGGTATGCCAAAACTTTATACTACATTTACATGTTTTTTATTCGGATAGAGTCAGTGCATTAAACTGAATAAATAATAGTACTCTTATTTGAAACCATGGAATCCTCTTCCTCCCACCAACCCCTCTCTCAGAATGCAACACGCTTTTAAATTATTATATTCTCGTTTAAATTTAGTACAATAAGCATTACTACTTAACAAGTTAAAGGAATTTTTTCAAATTTGAGAAGAAAAAAGTCTTTAAAGATGGAAGCTGAGCAGGAAATCTCTACGAAGTTTAACTGATTATTAGCTCGTTTGGCCAAGCTTCTAAAATCGGCTTATTTTGAGACGTGCTTTTCTCAAAAGTACTTTTAAAAAAATGCTTTTGGTGAGAAGTATTTGTGTTTGGCTAATTAATTTGAAAAACACTTTTGAGCAGTAATTAGTGTTTGGCCAAGCTTTTGAAAACTGCTATTTTTCTCAAAAGTGCTTCTCAGAAAAGTGCTTTTGGAGAGAAGTTAATTTTTTCTGCTTCTTCAAAACTGCTTCTGCTTCTTCTCAAAAGCACCTTTTTTTTCTTCCAAAAGCTTGGCCAAACATCTCAATTTTTGGCCAAAAATAAAAAAAGCTTGGCCAAATAGGCTATATAGACTTGACACTGGAATTAAAACCACCTATCCTTTTAGTTTCCTTCTATTTCTGGGTATTTTCTTGTTTGTCCTTTTACTTCATTTCTTGTCTCGAGTATAAAAACAACCTTTTCTTTCTCATTTGTTTCTCTTTAAGTCAACCGTGTATAGTACCAACTTGTTGTCCTGAATCTTCTTCAACTACTATGCTTTAAATTTAGATGCTAGGCCTTTTGGGGTTCTTCAACTTACTCCAAAGGCCAAGAATATGAGTCAGGATTCCTTGTGAGTGTGGCTACTTTTTCTTTTTAATTGCATATACTCAAAAATTATTCCAAAGACCAACTTTTCATTGTTGTTTGTTCCACAGGTTTAGTAGTGGCCAAGAATTGGCAAATTTGGTGGTGATCTCAGATCTACTGCATGATTCTTGGGCTACAATTTATGACCTTATTAGTCATGCTTATTTGAATAATCCAACAAACCCAGCTCCAATTGCGTTCAAAGTTTATTACCCATATAATACAAATGGTGCTATTGTTGCTTTTGTATCCTCCCCTACTTGTACTACCCTTCATCATCTTCAGAAAGAAATGGTCTCTTCAGAAGATCTTGAAGGTTCCCAACTTGATTTTGACTTCATTTCTACTAAGCTCAACCCTCATTTCTCACTTCACAAAGAGGCAATAGCCCTTTTTGCCTCATTACTCAATCAGCTCTCTGCCCTCAAACTACAGGTATTTTTTTACCTTGTGAATTCCTCTGTTGTGTGCTATATTATTATGGATTACAATGTAATTTTTTTTACATTATCAGTATGATTTAATATGTATAGAGGCTGCTTGCCTTAATTTTTAGGTTATTATTATTAACATTACCTTGAATTATTTTCTAGGATGACCTGATAGCAGAGGCGGATCCAGGATTTGAGACTTATGGCTTCCTACCGTAATTTTAGATTAATATCCAATAATAACTGGGTTCACAGTTAGATATTTACAAGCATTTAGTGAATTTCTTAATATAAATACAGGGTCTACACAAAAGTTACTGGGTTCCCGGGAACCCGTATTCTATGCTCTAGGTCCGCCCCCTGACAGTGTCTTTTACATTATCAATGTATAGAAGTTAATCTCGTCCCGTATTATGTCGTATTCACTAAGCCATGGGAATTCTTGACCTGTTGACCATAATATCTCCAAGAATAGAGAGAGCTAGAAGTTTAGAAAGATGCATTATGTGGTTTGATTACACTATGCTATGCTAATTGAGTCCTACATCTATTCTGGTGTCTTTAGATTGGTTAGATTCTGGTACTGACTGCTAAAGAAGAATAATTGGTGTCTTTGAATGTGTCTTTGTTCATTTGTATTTGTTCACATATAGACTCTGTCATTACTGTGCTATTATTTCTTTAACAAACAGAAAAAGAAAATCTCTCCAACATTTTGACTCCATGTTAGAAGAGTAATGCTGGAAATCTGATAAAATAGAAAGCTTGAAATCCTATTATTAGACAAAGTAACACTTCCTTCTGAAGCATTGATTATTAGGTGTTACTTATTCATATATGGATTTAAGTTATATATAATGACTGTGTAGTGTAGTTTAACTTCTGATGGTAGGTTAGTTATCATTACCAGGTTACAGATTACTGCCTATCCTAAAGATTCTGTAACAGATTTTTCTTGTAAGTAAAATTTACTTTTACACTATCGGTGCATAGAAATTACGGTTGATAATATTTTATTCATTCTGATTGAGTGCAGTTGGGCAGTTTCAGTCCGCTAATAATCACTGGACATTCCTTGGGAGGTTCCGTGGCATCTCTCTTCACTCTCTGGCTACTTGACAACATTTCTCCAAAGGACAATAATAAGCGTCCCACTTGCATCACTTTCGGTTCGCCTTTTCTTGGTGACAGGGGCTTCCAACAAGCCATATCAGAACGTCCATCATGGAATTCAAGCTTTTTGCATGTAGCCTCAAATCAAGATCCGATCCCCAGATTTTTAATCTCACCTACTAATGGCTTTTCTGGTTCTATTCCTCAGTCTTGTGTTTACAAACCATTTGGTACATTTCTGCTGTGTTCAGATTCAGACTGCTCTTGTTTTGAGGAACCTGAATCAGTTTTGGATCTTATGATGGTAATGAACTCAAATAGCCAACAACAGGACAGCGGTTTCTTGATTTTCAATTATGGGCCGATTCTGGAATGCCTCAAGCGTAGAGTAATCTGTAAGGGAACTTCTCAGCTGAGTGACTTTGGAGTGAATCAACTTCAAGCAGGCATCATTCTACAGCTAGAAGCAATTGGAATTGGTGGGCAGGTAAAACAAGATAGTGATAACATTCATAAAAGTGATCGGAACTTGTTTTTAAACCTGTATTTTCCTTTTTCTAACTTTTATATGTATATATTTACCGTAGCAGCAAACAAGTAACATGAGCTTTCTTAGGAACATGGAGGAAAGGGTGAAAGCATCTTTCGCGAAGAAGACAAATGCATTTGATCCCGGCAAGAAGCTAAGCAAAATAAAAGAAGATATGGCTTATCTAGAGTGGTACAAGAAGGCCACTTTGAATGAAGGAGGCTACTATATTTGTTTCAAAGAGAGAGGGTCGGGAAGTAGGGATGTGGTCAAAAGCAGAGAAGAAATTGTCAAGCGCCACAGAATCCTCACCAAGTACTGGAAAAGAATGGTTGCAGAAGTGGATAAACTGCCACAAAAAGAGGAAGCAGCTTTTCGTACTCGCTGGCTATATGGAGGGACGAACTATAGAAGGATGGTTGAACCACTTGAGATAGCTGAATACTACATGAAAGGGAATAGAGATTATGTAAATCTTGGAAGATCGGAGCACTATAAACTGTTGGAGAAATGGATGAACGAAGACAAAATAGGTGGAATTGCTAATGACAGAAGGAAAGCAGTTAGCCTCACTGAGGATTCTTGCTTTTGGGCATATGTGGAGGAAGCGATTATAGCTTCCAAAGGATTGAGAGAGGGCAGTTCAGAAGAGAAGGAAAATTCAAGGAGGAATTTGGTTAATTTTGGGGAATATGTAATGAGTTTAATAAGGAGCTACTCAGTATCCACTGAGATTTTCCAGCCTCAGAGTACCTTCATGAAGAAATGGTGGCAAGAATATCGGCAAGATATTCTAAGTTCTTTGTATAGTTGTCCTTTGACCTTTTACATGGAAAATGAAGAATACAGAAGTTATGCTTGAGCAAGACAATGGTATCTAGTTAGTAGCTCATACTAATCCACTGTAACCGAGCATGACATTATCATCAGTCGATCTTGTAGTGTTAACTACTCTAGTAGCATACCTAACAAGATTGACATGTGAGAATGTTAATAAACATTTTCGTACAAGTCTAGTTCATTTGATTCTAAGAGCGGCTGGACATGTAAGTTCTGTACTATATCCTGGACAGATCAGTAAATTTCAGATGTATATATAGTTGCTTCATTTTCAGAATCCAGAATCTGTTGGAACGTCAAGTTTATGAATGAAAATAGCTAGCTGAGATAATGGAACAACTATATGTTCTTCAAGCCTTTTCATTGCACTAAGAACGAACCACAAGTCACAGATACTAATACTATCCATAAAAATGAAAAGGCGAAAAAGCATTAATTAAATAGATCATATGAAGAATAATGATTAATCACTTCAAAAGTCATGAAAAATTTTCTTAACCTATGTTGTTATACTAACTCTCCAACATTAATCAACAAAGTATCCAACTGCACGCTATCTAGCTGCAAATTAAATAGATATGAAGAATAATGATTCACATTCAATATGATTAGAATGCACCTATGAGATGCATGTGGATTTTAGTTAAATATTACATCGGAATCTTGAATGTTACCCTAAATCAAGAAAAATATGCATGTACATAAGGTATACGTAAGCAAGCAAAGTACATACGTATGCATGTTCGCTGTTGTTTCTCTAATCTCTTCCTAGGAAACTGTCGCCGTAGCTAAAGGCATAATTGCAAAAAACAGATAATTCGTCGAGCTAGACCGAGAGAGATTGAGCTTTCCTATAGTCTATTTATTATTTATAGAATTAATCTAATAGCTGCTCAACCAACTACTTAAACTAAAAATAGTTGGTAATATATGTAAAATTCATAAATCATATGTGTGTAAACCATACATAATCTATGTAGTGACTAGGAAAAAGTAAACAGTGCATCTATTTGTGTAAAGATCCTTTTTATTTCTAGAAATAGAGCTGTAACTATCACCTGGGCTTTTTGACTGCCTTTGAGCTAGTCTTCTCTAAGGGTAGACTCACTCCATCTCTTTGGTCCATAGTGTCTTGGGCCTTAGGTTCAATGCTTTATGCTTGCCAGTTTAGATGGCTTAGGCCTCAAATAATCTGTTAGGTTAAGTGCCAAGTGATCTCACCTCAGGCTTGTTCAGATTTCCTTTTCCTTTTTGAAAAAGACAGATATATTTGCATGTACCAACGAAATGGACGATAAAGAAGAAGTAAAAACCCACTTCTTTAGACAACTAGATAAGCAAGAAGTTACAGTTTGATTGTTCAATAAATTTTTTCTGCTCTTCTGGTGGTTCAAGGAAAAAAAACAAGACTAATTTTTGACCAAATGGTGGTGCATAGAGCTACCAAATGTATATTCATTAATAATGTCAGGGATGTTATTTTTCCTCATTGTAATAAGATACAGTAGTTTGGTAAGAGACAAATGAAATGTTTCTGTCAAGTGACCACCATCATCATTCGTGGTAATAATTAATTTTAAGAAGAATTATAGCAGCCTTTTCGTGATTAAATGATGACATTTTTATGCCTCTTACATTTATTGTTTTACTACTTTAAACCCTGAAAAGCATTTTAACATCATGAAATTCTGGCTCAACATACCACAAAACCTGTAACTAAGCTGAATTGAGAATGATGTTTCGTCCACCACATTACACAGAAAAAAGATTTGTTAGGTTATTGTTTTTTGCGTTGGCTCTGTTGCCTTGTCCCTTTAAGTTCGTCTGTATATCTGAAGTTGGATAATTATATCATTTTGCAGTGCCTGGCAATTTGTTTATGCCCAAAGAAAGAAAACGTACATACAGAGGTTGGACAGTCTTCATCTAGGACGAGGAATAATTCATGCGCCATCAATTAATGGAAAACATTCTTCTACTTGCTGAGTTAGCTAGTCGTCAACTTTTTATTTTTATTTTTAATTAAAATGTTTTGGGTTGTTACATAGTATTAGCTGTTGGTACCCAATACGAATGAATGATGCACTTGGTTAAATGTTGATTTATTTATCAAAAGAAATATTTTACACTTAATATATTTTTATCTCTTTTTTTAGTAGTGCACCATGTACTAAATCTTTTGTTCCAGAAAGAAATATGCTTTTCGGAATAAAATCTGTAAATCAAATGCATCTAAATATCTGGTACAAAATATTACTACTCCTATTTACAATTTTTATATTGCAAAAACAACTTAATTACCAACTACTAACACGGCTACTCGGTTAGTAGTATATATATATCTTTTAAACATTTCATTCCAATGCTCACCGTGTCTTCATAAAATTCAAAGTAGGAGTAGTTCTAGATCTATCCCTATTTACACTTTATACTTTTAAAAATATTTAAAAAATCCTTGATAAGAAAAATCGTTTCACTTCCAAATCGCAGTTGTGCCTCTCTCATTCTTCTTCTTCTTCTTCTTCTTCTTCTATTTTCTTTTTTCTTTTTATTTTGAAGGGAGGGGCAGTGTCAATACTAAATGAACATGCATAGGTTGTTGAAGACCGTATGCAACTAGTGAGATTTCAATCATTACCTCGATCATAATTATACCTTGTGGGTGAGATATTCAAGACCATATAGTGTATAAGAAGGTATATTTTCCTAATGTTAAACATAGACATAAATCATCATACGAGCAAAGATCAAGAGCCATTAAAATCGGCCTATATCAATAAACTTCTTGCGTTACAAGTAAAACAAGATAGATTTAAGTTATATACACTGACAGTTTAAAAATAAATAACAAATTAGTTACCATTCTTACTAGGCGCTGAAATAATGTTCATCCAGAGATTTAACTAAAATTACCCAAAAATGATTTAATAATTGTATAAACATTATTGTTTCAGCGCATGCGCAGTTGCATAGAAATAAAACTAAAGAAACATGCATGTAGTGTAAAAGACCAAAAGCTATTGACAATTAGCGAGTCATAAGGCAGGCAATGATGAGCAGTCATGAGTACAATCGTGCTATACTACTACTGATGGGCAATATGAGACGTACACTTAAAACTTTGTGAGCAACTTTCTAAGCAGCTTCCTTGGCATGCTTATTTCCTCTTCAGCTCCAACTATCAGTTTGTTTTCCACTCATAATTTGAGGGATGGACATATCGAAAATTTCAAATCCTAATTGGAAATTTGCTTCCTCCCCACCACAAAATCAAAATCAGTTAGCTCTATTACTAGAACAAACTTCATCACTCGAGGACACTCTAAACTACACAAACCCTCGCATTTTGTAAAAGGGAACGAAGTAGAAAACGGAACCCAGGGATAATATAAATCAAAGGACTTAAGCTTGGTACTCTCCAGTATCAGAAAAGGCAAAACTTTGTGAATTTAATGGCATCAACTTTTTTGAAAAACACATAGAAATCAGAGACTAGGAAACACTTAGCATACATGAGAACGAAATTCGTCCACATCGAAAAAAGCAAGGAATGCTTCTTTCTCAGTGTACTGGATTATTTGATGCTTGAAAGCAGTAAGCCAGTGAGTACTGATACACTCGTGAAATTAAAGCAGTACGCCAGTGGTATGTGTTAAACTTTTACTATCACTTTGTCACGATTAATTACTAGCATTACTATACAGTATATCACATCATTTAAACATACAATTATTTGATGTAAACACCGAGAACGAATAAGTATATACAATACTTATACCCCTAATCCTCCCAACAATTCTAAATTAGCACTCCATATGCATATATTACTATTTTAATTTCATTATGATCCTCAACAATCCAAGTGAACCACACGTAAAGCAAAGCTCTAGACCTGAAAGTTCAGATCTGTTGTTTAGCCTTTAATTTGGCATTCCATCTCAACTTAGCTGTTGGCAAGTCCAAGAATACTATTACTGCCAAGCTCATGATCATTACATCCAAGGATGTACAGTATGTTCGCTAATACATCAATAATTACTAACCATATATACCCCCAACTGATCATTTCTTCTTCTATATCATGGAAACTAAGACCCAATATGTTATTGTCCCTTAATACTTAAAGACCAATCACGACTACTAATAAAATAAGACTAGTATAACCAAAAACTCTTTTACAAGTACAAGAATATCATGATGCAAAGGATGCTATATACACCTATATTTTAATTTGTCTCTAAGCAAATGCAATCATACATGAGTAATACGTATCCAGTAGCAGCTAAAAAATTTTCTATCAACCTTTAATCAACTAAATTAGTGATGAGATTGTGCCATACTGCTCATCAAACCCTAATTTGACAAGAAGGTAAGATTTGATAATACCTTCATATATTTCTCATGATAATATTTTGAAGATCTATGCTAGAATCTCTGCCTCAATAGTAGATCGAAAGCATTAGAAAGTATACCATTCAAAGGATCCGAAACTATACGTTGTTAAGAGATACAATTAGGATTAAACAGATCCATTTAATTGAGATGCACCAACACGTACCACACCTAAAAACTTCAATAAAAAAAAAAAAAAAACACTACAAATAAATACAAACCGAGCTGCAGCAGTTGATAAAACCGTCTTCTTTCTTTTCTTGAAGTAGCAAAAGTAACCAGCACCAGTTATCCAAAAGATCGATAAATCTAGAGTAGGCAGGTTATATATAACTTTGAGAAGCTAGAAAAGAGAATAATACCCTAGTTGTAGAAATTAAAGTAAAGAGAGTGTTTTGCTTGAAATAGCAAATTAAAGGAACGGATCGGACCACGAAGCTTGATTCCCCCACAAAGAAAAAAAGTGACTTTTGAAGAGTCATTCATTTCAATGTCTTGAGAGGCTAGAGCTAGTCAAAATTAATCAAAAACAGTACTCTTTATTTCTTCTTCTTCTTCGTCATCATCATCCTCAAGAAGAAAAAGAAGATGTCCACGTTTTTTCTGACTACTACTGATGTTAGTGCTCGAACAAGAAAGTGGTGGTAATGATAATAATGATGTTTGGTGGTGGAAATAATGATGACGGCGGTGAGGTTTTGGTCTCGGTGGTGGTGATGATTCAGAGAACATTATGATTGCTTTGGCGTTGAAAGGTTAGGGGAAGATAGGTCAGAAAGATAAATATATAACCTTAGTTTCTCTCAATGTTTTTCGTGCAGTTTTTTCTTTACTCTTTATTACTAGCGAGGAGAGAGAATTTGTGGAAAAGAATCCTCATCATTCACCCCTCTTCCATCTATAGAGTA